GCGGTGCCGGCCCTGCGGCTCGCGGGGCTTCATTAAGGGCCACTACCGCGTCTCGGCCAACCAGCTGCACCTGGAGCTGGAGATCGTGCTGGGCTCGGAGCCCTGCATCGTGTCGGAGTGTATCCCCCTCCCAGTAAAGCAGTGACGTCCGTCCGCCTGTGTGTCGGGCCAGCTCCGGAGGGCGGGGCAGACGGCGGGCACTCGGCGTCTCCCCCCGCTCGGAGGAGGACTTGGAGCCCCTGCCGGACTGAGCAGAGGCTGGGATTGGGGGGCGAGGTGGGGGCACTGGTCTGCCACGCCGGCCGACTCGGAGCATCGTGTTGGGTCTGCAGAGAGCGACGCCCAAGTCCGTGGGTCACGGAAGCCTCGAGGGTGGAGGGTGGTAACGGCAATGGCAGCACGTTTGCCAGGGATTTGCCCACCCAGGTCTGCTTGGTCTCCCACCTCCACGATTGACAGGAGTCCACCCACCCCAAACTCTGGGACCCAGGCTCCTGCGGCTCGTAAAGGGCCCCGGTACTCACAGGTGGGGAGACCCCGAAGGAAGAGGTCAGCCAGCAGGGAGCTCACACAGGAGGCTGGTCCTGGGGACCAAGAGGGGCGATCTCTGCCCCCGCCCACCGGGACCTGAAGAGTGAGCAGAGGTCTTACCGGGCCCGTCGCACGCGCCGTCCAGGGGTCTCAGCGCCGCGCTACCACCTCCAGGCTGCGCCCTTGAAAGCAGCTCCCCGTGGGAACGGGCCGGGTACCACCTAATCTACGTCAGCATCAGAACAAGGACGGTCGCACCACAAACCTTGAACACTGGCAGCCGGGGACAGACTGCGTTCCTGGGTGCGGGCCGCTGCATAACGAGCACCCCCGGTGCATCATGGTGAGGGCGCTGCCTGCCCCGGCCCTCCGGGAACAGACGGGCCCAGGTCCGCCCACCTTCCTATCCGTCATCACCTGTGCCTCCAGCCCCGTCTAAAACCCAGGCGTCACCAAGTCTCCTCTCACATTGCTACTCCCATGTCCGGCACAGAACTTGTCCGTAACATTGCCTCCCACTCCCCCGAATCCATCTTCGGGTTTGATCTCCCCTGTCTGTCCCCGCCTCCCACGGCTGCCTCTGTCCTGTGCGGGCCTGCCCCTCCCTGCCTGAGCCCCCTGGCCAGGCCATCCCCCCCTCCTGTGGCCGCTGTCCCGTGTGAAGGCTCCGCTCACCGACATGGCTGATGGGAATGGCCAGGTGGCCTCCGGGAAACCCTTGCTGGGCTCAAGTCCTGACTTTACCACTGAGGGTCCCTCCGCCCCGCCCCGCCCCTGTGCAATACCAGTTACCACGGCGACCGTGAACCCTCACCAGCCTGGTTCTGACCCTCGGTGCCCACAGGCCCCTGTGTGGACTCCTCTCTGCCAGGGCTCCATGTGGGGCACATCTCGATGTCAACACCTTCCTCACCCCCTTGGCATCCACACCTGCTCCGGGCCATGGTGGCTCCTAACCCACCCCCAGGTACACCTAGGACACCCTGTCCAGCCCAATGCCTGCCAGATGGAGTTGTTCAGGAAGGAGAGAGAGGAAAATGAAGGAACGGATGTGTGGACACTGAGATTTCAATTAAAAAAAAAACACAGCAACAAGCCCTAGGCAGTGTGGCTCAGTGGATAGAGCGTCACCTGTGGACTGAGGGTCCTGGGTTCAATTCCATCAAGGGCACATGCCCAGGTTGCAGGCTCGATCCCCAGTAGGAGGCGTGCAGGAGGCAGCTGATCAATGATTCTCATCATTGATGTTTCTATCTCCCCCTCTCCCTTCCTCTCTGAAATCAATAAAAAATTTATATATATGTATATATATGTGTGTATGTATATATATATATATATATGAAGGTGAGCACCCAACTACTGATCACAAGCTTTGGAGGAAACCAGCGGCATGAAAGAGCCCCTCAATTCAACACAAGAAACACGGCAGCCATGAGTTCCCCGGACAGCCCTTTACAGAAGTGAAATTGGTCTTGGTGCGGGGAGGTGTCTTGGTGGCGCCGAGCAAACTCCATTAACAAAGCCATCTCTGGCTCGGAGAGGAGCCGTGCTAAACTCACCGTGGTCGTGGTCGTGGTCGTGGTCGTGGTCAATGGGCAGGATGGACAGGATGGAGGTAGCCACGTGCAGGCTCGCGAGTGGGAAGTGCGGCACGAGGAGCCCTCCTGGGGGGCAGCGCGAAAGGGCAGAGGAAGTAAAAGGTTTCAAATAGTAGATAAAGCCCTGGGCCGGGTGGCATCACCCCGTGCCCCACAGGGCGCCGCTCCATCCCGGTCAGGGCACGTGCCCAGTCGCAGGCTTGATCC